GGGAGTGTTGCTGTTGACCGCAATCTGATTTGTCGTTGTGGTCGCGCAAGTTTCTTCCACCAATAACATCGGCAAACGCGAGAGCGGGGAAAATTTAGTTTGTTCGCCTGAGTTACGGGGAATGTCGGCGAATTCAGTTGTCACCGAACGCCGTTAGCCATCCCCGACTTTGACACAGCGTTGCGGAACTGTGGATTCGCCGAACTGCCGCCGAATGAGGATGTGACCCATATTTAGTGTGCACACATGACTGCATGCGAGGGAACAGTATGAGACGTGTTTTTTACCCACATAACGCCAGCAAAGTATAGGTGATACATGGCGAGCGTACAGTGTACGGGTGATTTTTAACCCCATACTTAATATTAAAATATCGATCTCTCGAGTCAGGCGCATGTTCCCGACGTTCCTCTTGCGTCCATGCGTGATTCGAATACACTTCCCCTCAAAATGGTGGGTTGTGAGTCTGAGTCTACTCCAAGGTCTTCCATTTATTAAGATTCTATGTTCTATATTCAGAATAGGAGTGTATGCGGAGAATGTCCTATATCATAATTATTGTTGTCAGTGCATCCGATGAGTGCACCTTGGGGGTGGAGGGAGAGGCTGTGCGTGTATGCGACACGGAGCAAACACCGCACCTATTTCATCTGAATGGCGGTCCTCGTGCAAGGACTGCCGTTGCGGATCTTGTACGGAGTCTCCGCCAGTTTGCGTGTTGGCCTCACGAAAGCACGTATTGAGCGGAAATGTTGTAAATGACGTCATCCCACCCGTCGTGTGCATCCTGCTTCTGGTGGATATGAAAATCTCATTAGGCATTTTGAACGCATAATGAATATTTATTAGGAACGCATTTCTACATATTATTCGTAGATATGATTAAATCATTTTTTTATTAATTTCGTATTTTTCGTGTAATATTATTCGTGTATATAGTTAGAAGCGATTTCTTAGACATAATTCGAAGCCTAATAAATACAAATTCATATTTACACAAGCAATAAAGAACAGCACAAATTGTAAGATTTCGTAGTACTTTGCTTTACGTCGTTGAATGTTCATGCAGTAATGCGTTCTTAACCCCATTGGTTCTCTCCTATATATGATTATAATGTTTTAATCCGTCTCCATACATATTTATAGAGATAGTGTTGTTCATCTCACGTGACCTTGTAATACGTGGAGCTGCAAAACATCATATTATAGACGGACGCACGCACAGACACACTTGCACGCACGTACGAACGCAAACACGGAATAATAGATGTACTGTTTTGCGTAGCGTAACCGTGGTTGTTCCGTGAAAACAACGCAGTCTGTAGTGAAACACTGAAGGCTAACAGATCGCTGATATATCTCCATCCCGCACAGTCTGTTACGTGGAAACATATAACATGGACGGACAGACGCATGCGCATACACACTCACGCGCGAACGAGCAAATAAACGAACGCAAGTACACACACGCGAACGCACGCACGCAGACGCGCGCGCGCACACACACAATTCCTGCGCGTTCATCACTTTAATAGCATCCAAGACACAGGTAAGGAACCTAGTTCGCTTCAGGCGTGTCTACAACAAACATTTATCCTGACAACGATACTAATTAGCAAGGCCGACATCTGACGTCTGTGGAATATAAGTTGACCTAGTGCAACGATTCTGCGAACCAAGTCGACGAAAACAGGGAAGTTCGTAGAAGCACAGTTTCTCATGTTGCCCCCGTACCTACGCGTAGCAATAACAAAATAGTTGTTACATTATTCGATAATACATGTCACCCGGCTAGTAGAGGTTAGGCGTCCTTGTGCGTGCTTCCTGACTCTCTGTGATGTGACACATTGAGAGTGTTGTTTTGACTATTCATCAAGTTGTGCCGTCGTGCCTACTAGGAACTATAAAATCAATCATTAGCCGTTATACGAGAGCATTAGTCTATCTAAAAAGATCGTTTAAAGAAAATTAGCATAATCCGTATGTCAATCAGTGTCCATGCTGTAGGCGCTTTCTTACAATAGGTTTCTGTCGGGTGTACGGTGAGAAAGATACCTAACAACCACAATATGAGACGCCATGTCAAGTGCTGGTGGGGACAGAGTCGTGGACAAACACTCGGTGCAAATTGCCAAGATATTCCGCGCGTAATCGAAACCACGATAATGAGATTGGTGGGTTTTCAGATCCAGCGCGCATTCTGCTACAGATCGTAAGATCTATCTAAATTATTCCGATATGAAGACTTGTGACACGCGTGTGAGAGTATGAATTCGATCACGCTTGCACGCACATCGTGTGCGGCGTGGATGGCGGTTATTACTTTATTCAGATTGCAATCTTGAAGTCGGACGTTGTATCTGACTTTACATCAGAAGCTTCGCCATGTCATTCAGTGGTCCGCTCTACCGAGCGCCGTACTATCTCATTATGTGCGCCCCCTAGACAAAGCCTTCTCTCCTCGCTGTCGCTTGCATTCTCGCCAGTCGCCATCTCTTCCATCTTCGCTAATTGTCCTTTGCTTGCTTGATCCCGCACGGATGCTCCACGCATTCTGATATGCCTCTGCGTCTTCGTTTCCGCTCTCGCAGCGGGTCATTCGACGGCGGAGGAGACAAGCACAAGGCTGCAGATGGCACATGCGAGAGAGAGAGCAGATTACTGGGAAGAATCAACAGTGGCCGCACATCTACATAACAATCCGTGTAATCGCGACGAACTCTATACTTGTATACTCTATACTCTAGGCCTGTATCGATACACCCACTCCGCCACTGTCCCGCGCTTCCCCACCCGTTTCTCTCCCGTCTTTCACGCGCTTAGGCCAATCGCTTTCTCTTCCTCTGTCTCTCTCTCTCCCTCTGCTTCCCCTTTTCTCTCTCGCTTTAGCTCACGCACATGCACACGCACACGCACAAGCACACGCACACGCACACGCACACGCACACGCACACCACACACACGCACGCACACACACCACACACACACCGCGCACGCACGCATGCACGCACGCACGCACGCGCATGCACACGCACACACGCACAATTGTCACACGCACTCGGGCGCTCTTTCTCTCTCTCTCTCTCTCTCTCTCTCTGTCTGCGTGTGTATCTATCCACCTAACTCTCCTCCTCTCGCTTCTCTCCTTCACTCCCCTCTCCCCCTCCTATATGCGGGGGGGGGGCGCATGGACATGCTGACTCGCGTTTGTCCCTACGAATCTTTTCACTACCAACGACTAGCTCTTAATCGCGCGCTATTATTGAGTTGGCTCCTGTAACCATGGAAACTGCACAAAGCAGTATCAATCCCTCCTCACCCCTCACCATACAGACAGACACACGCACGGAGGCGCGCACGTGAACTGAAAGAGTAAGTAGAGAGCAGAGAAGGAGCGACGGAGCTGTGCGTGAGCTGTACTCTACGGATGATAGCGCGAAAAGAGAAATGAGAGGGAGAGGAATACCGTACGCGCGTGTATGGGTGAGAAAGTATGAGTGAGTGTGAGTGTGAATTAGAAAAGATGGAGAAATAGTGCATGCGTGTGTGTGCGCGCGCGTGTGTGAGAGATAGGTAGGGAAGGTGACAGAGATAGAAAGGATGAAACGAAGAAGAGAGAAAAAGCGAGCGAGCGAGAGAGAGAGAGAGAGAGAGAGAGAGAGAGAGAGGGAGAGGGGGGGGGAGAGAGAGGGAAAGAGAGAGAGAGGTGGGTGAAGAAAGAGAGAGAGGTTTTAAATTTACGTATTGCATTTATATACTTACCTCTTCCAGGCCACTGCATGTCCTGATATTCGTCAGCGCATTTCGTGTTATCGCGGTTTCCGGTGTTTGCTTGCCTGCTATCATGCGTTCAATGCGAATTCAAAAAAACTATAAAGTACAGTGGCTCCCTAGAAATCAACGGACATAATATAGGGTGTGCTGAATTGAAGTGAACCGGAAGATGTATGACCAAGGAACACCGTCTTTCCGACCCATACAGTGTGCTGAATTTGGCATTTTAGCAAAGTTTCTTTATAGCAGACTTGCGAAAATAATGAAATAAGAGCCGTATAGTGTCATGAAAAGAATAATAAAATTTTACATCCTACATAATGGATGCGCGTGAAACGTGTATGTACTTAATAAGAGCGGAAATATAAAACTTGTGTTGATGCCTGTGGCCGGCGGTCGAAGTTGATTTGACTATGATTGAATTCGCAATGGCGTCATATCAGCTTATATTGTAATAGCGTTTAACAAATTTAATCAGGTATACACAATACGAGATTGCTCGCGTCGCATTAGTGAGTAAAATTATGCGTTTTGAATAATAATCACGATGCACCAGCTACATACAGTTTCTAGACGAACACTGACATTTTATATAATTTTGACGTATAGGAGAAACTCGAGTGCAAATTAAATGCCCGCTAACGAACCCAACAAGCTGACGCCAGTATTATTAAGAGCTCTAATAGGCTATTTTACTCGAATTTCTGAAGCGTTCTCCGTTGTTGTCTCGCGATAAACCTTCTGTAGCACCAAAAATCGATTTAAACCAAAAAAAGTCTGCCGATAATGAATTCGCCTGCAATATAATCCAAGCGGTTTTGATTGGATGCAAATACTGGCGCCGAAGAACGGAAACGCGATGGCTGTAACAGCTTGCAAGATTGTATATGCGAATAATGTGGAAATAAATGTAAAATATGGCATCGGGAGAGTATAATCTTTGTGCTAGTGAAAGAGGCTATTCGACTGAATATAAAGCAGTATTATATAAAGCAGGTTTTTGCAGTCATTATAGCAGTCAGTAACGCATATTCCTTGAGTGCATATTACAATCAAGAGCGTATTACGAAGGCCTTCTTTATACGCTCTTGTTACAATGCAAATAAGAAGCTGAATTATTGCCCTTAGACATGCCCGCATGCAGCTATTGTGTGGCTGCCTCTATAGCGGAACGTTGCGGATTGATGGGCGTACGCTTAATAATATAGTATGTTTGTATTTTACAGGCGACGTCATTTTGGCAATTAACGGAACGAACCTGGAAGACGCGACGCATGCGCAGCTCGTCGAATTCATACACGGCTGCGGAGAATTCATTAGGTATAGTAATGACAGCTGAGAAACTCGTAGCCAATAATATGTTGCACTTTAGGTATTCTATGGTATGGATATCTGCACACATATATTTGCAGTTCCATCACAGTTTTGCGTTTTTTCCACACGATGTTTACCCTTCTAAAAAGGGTCACCGAACAGGAAGGTTTACATTGACTGCAGTAATGACGCTGGTATTAAAACCAACGAGTGTAGAAGCTGTAAAATGCCAATTTAAGTATAGGGGTAGCTAGCTGTGGTGGTCCTCAAAAAATGTTGGCCATGGGTACCAAGAGATCAATAGAAACCTGTGTTTTGCCTATGCTGCATTAAATAATAAATGGCGGGTTGATCACTTTCAGAATGGTGGTTCTTTTCGAAGACTGTGTAAGAAAGGTCGAGCTCCACATGCGAACGATTAAACTGAAGGTAACAATCATTACATTGCAGTAAACGCTTAAAAGTTAGCCTGCAGTTAAGACAGGCGAGTCTTGCGGGAGACGTGTATAAATATTTTACTCTCGTCAAACCGCCTTTACACAACCACACATGACATCAGCCTACGTGTAACCTGTCGTTGCATGCCTTTCAGCAAATACTGGCCGAGAAGACTCTAGAGTATGAGCAGCTGTGTCATGAGGAAGCCTCTATCCTCGGAGGTACTTATTGTTTAGTTCGTATGTTTATCTTGTTTAACGACAGAAGAAGATCGATAGAACTTTTGTTAATTTGCAGCAAACCGCTATTACTTCGGTAAAGAAATATCTGAAATTGTAATTATGTACTGTGCAGGATATTTAGTTTCTGCCTGGTTTGAAAAGAATATAACTAATAAGAATAAGGGTTAAAAATTTAGATGTGTTTTGTGCAAAACAGCGTAATTATTCCATATTTCATGGAGGCCAAACTTGTTTCACAAATTGCAAGATTATAATTTAAAAATGCAGGAACATGCCGGTTGTGGAAGATATATTCAAACCATTCGCGTACCTACTATTTCACTACACTTGAGTTTTGTGCCGTCGCGACCATTTAAAGAATTAGTTTCGAAATCATTGTTTAGAAACGCAAAATCTGGAGGGAAAATATGGCGAAATACACTAAGAGTTTATGCTGTTTTAGAATAGGAAATTGGAATTGACGGGAAACCATTACCACTTCAGAACAATATGAGAGCTCTCGTGCCACCGCTGAATCAATGGCGTCGGTGGTGTCCACCGCGGAGAGCTTTGGTTCGGCGTCTCAGTCCGATTCACTGTCCATCGTGATGACGGAGCCACGCTGCGACGAGAGGCTACTCCCGGGCAGCCTCAGCGACTCCCTCATCACTAAGTCCAGCTGCAGTCCCAGCGGCAGCGGCCGCACGAACCACTCGTTCGACTCGTCGCCCGGCAGCGAGCGCAGGTCGACGGCGACGACGGCGACAATGACGAGCAGCGACGACGCGAAGGTGGAGCGGAGTCGCTGCTCGAGCACAGTGTCGCTGTGTCTGTGCACGCCGCGCCGGCTGCGCACGCACGCGTCCTACACGAAGCCGGCCACCGCAGCCGACTCGTGCGACTACAGCGACCTGGAGAGTTCCGGCATGTCCGACACGTCCAGCACTACGGGGTCAGCTTACCCGTCCAGCAGCAGCGGCGGCGGCGGTGGCGTCGGCGGCGGCAGCGTCAGCGGCATGGCCCGCTCGAAGAGTTCCACATCCGTGTCGAGCGGCAGCGACACGGACAGCGTCACGCCGACGGCGACGATACTCCGCCTGGCGGCGCGCGACGGCTCGCGGCTCGCCGGCAGGGTGGCGCCACCATCGACCCGCAGCCTCACGCCGCTGTCGAAGTCGCCGATCGGGATCATCCCGCCGAATCAGCGCGAGATCCGCGAAGCCCTGCAGAACCTGCGACCTTCGACCCCGCGCAGCATGCAGCCATGCAGGGCGATGACGCGCAGCGTCACGAAGGCCGCGTCCGCTCCCAGCAGCGTGCGCGGCCGCCGCCTGCCACCGCCGCGCGCTCACCACAGCGAGCCCGAGATGGACGACTCCGCCGACAGCGACGCCACCTGCCGGGAGCCGGCGGATCGCGAGGCGCGGCGGTGGCGGCCGACGGCAGAGAGTCTCGCTTGCCGCTTCTTCGTCAACTCGGACTCGCGCAGCAGTGTCGGCAGCTTTGACCTGGTGTGCTGCGCTGGCGACGGCAGTGAGGCGTGCGGCGCGGTGGCGGCGTCGCAGCGGTCGCACAGCCACGCGCGAGATCCGCGTGCCGGCGACGACGCGGCGTCCCACAGCGAGCTGACCGACTCCCGCGACGACGACGACGAACTGCCGGACACGCGCGCGATCACGGAGATCGACCGCAAATTCCGTAAGGAGTTTGACAGCGACATCAGAGCGACGAGCACGCCAAAGAGTAAGTGTAACGTGAGACCGCCGACGACAGAGACGACCTCGTCTCTCTGCACGGACGCCAGCTCCGCGTCCGGCGTCGACGATCCGGCGGCGGCGAAGAGAGACTCGTGGGGGAAATTCGTCTCCGAGTACCAGCTGAGCGTCGACTCGAGCTCCGAGCTGTCCTGTCACTACTTGCCGTCGCTCGACGAGGACGTCAGCGCGAACGTTCGCAGTGGTCACGGCGACAGGGACGACGTCGCCTCGTCGTGGTCACGCGCGACGTCGTCCGACTACGTCACCGCGTCCGGGAGCGCGCGCACGCTCACGTCCGGTGTCAGCAGCAGCGGCGGGTCCGCCGTCTCCCGCGTCGCCAGCGAGGAAGACTCGAGGCAGAGCGGTCTGCTCGCCGGCGCCATGCGCACCCCCTACGAGTTTGCGCCTGGCATATACAGACCGGCGGTCGCCTCGCCCGCCGGTCTCGCGTCGCAGAGCGCCGGCGAGCCCGTGGGGCGGCTGAGCCGGCATGCGGCGGCGGCAGCGGCCCACAGCTGGTTGCACCAGGGCAAGCACGGCGCGCGCAGACTGAGTCCGGTGAGCGCGGGCGGCGGCCATCATCACGTTCCCAAAATGCACCACAGCTTCGACGACATGCTAGAGGAGACTCGCGACGAGAGGCCCGTGGGGCGCCCTCTATACCCGACCCGGGGAAGCGACGCACTGAAGAAGTGGCTGGACCAGCAGTTTGACGATGGCAACGTTAATGAGGAGGATGAAGTAACTCACCTCTAGTTGAGTTTGCGTGAGAAAGTGATAGAGTGTGAGTGGAGAGTGATAGAGTGTGGGTGGAGAGTGATAGAGTGTGGGTGGAGAGTGATACAGTGTGGGTGGAGAGTGATACAGTGTGGGTGGTGAGCGATAGAGTGTGAGTTGAGAGCGATAGAGTGTGAGTTGAGAGTGATAGAGTGTGAGTGGAGAGTGTGAGGTTAGTGTGAGTTGAGAGTGATAGAGTGTGAGTGGAGAGTGTGAGGTTAGTGTGAGTGGAGAGTGATAGAGTGCGAGTGGAGGGTGTGAGGTTAGTGTGAGTGGAGAGTGATAGAGTGTGAGTGGAGGGTGCATGTGAGGTTAGTGTGTGAGCGCCATAGCGTCGGTTGTGACTGCGGCACGCGGCTACGTGGGTGACACGCCGGTAGATATGTAATTTACTTAGCGGGAATATGTGTGCGCCTGGTGTTGTTCTGTTCGTTTGACTGCAAGCGAGGGAAGGTTGTGCAGTCCATTAATTAATAGTTTATTCTGTACTTGTGAAATTCTCAGGACCACATTCTGCAGTTTTTTGTGTTCGGGAATACTCTGTGATGACGAATCGGTGTGTAATATTTCCATATTATTATATTGTTGTTATTTTTACCGTTTTATGTAAATTATAATAGGTCGTTTCTCTACATTTATTGTTTTATTAAACCCACGATTACTACCCATAAATATCGTTCTTGACTTTTATACCGACCCTCTCTACAAAATTTTCATTTCACAACATTCCTATCACACTCATGCGCATACACACGCACGCACGCACGCACGCATGCACACACACACAGAGTAATCCGTAAACATAGGCGTACCTATTATGACCAACTCGAGAGTGAAAATTGGTAATACCATTGAACACACAATTCCCTGCTCCTGTTATACGCTTATCGCGGCTGCAGACATATTTTATGTTATATAGCTATTTAAATAGACATTTACAAATCATATACATAGCTATATACACATGCTTATGCTGAGTACATGCATAAATAATAAATTATGCATCTTTTCTATTCATGCACTCGCGCTATTATACAATGGCTACAGAGCCCTGCCTAACTACACAGTCTGTATGTAATGTGCGTTCGTACGAGCGTGAGGGCGCGTGCGTGTGTGCATTTTCGTGTGCGTGCACGTGCTTTACCGTGCCCCTGGCGACGTGGATTAAATCACTTAGGTGCGGCACCACTGTGCAGTGTTTGAAGTCAACCGCACACGTCCGTGTAGTATGCCCTACCCTAACATTACAAGCAAAGAATAACTAACTGCACATAACTCGTATGTATGGTGATGAGCAGACGTGATATATACATCACACAACATTTTGCGCGCACAGACACTCGTATAGAATAAAGCAGTACTCGAAAGATTCTTTTCTGACTTGTACAAGTATATCGTTTGTAGTATTGTGGTTTTTGTAGCTACAACCGTGAAATCTAATATATATTTGAGTTCGTATGTATGTATGTATGTATGTATCTTCCCTATAGGCGGCCAAACCGCCCAAGCGATCTGGATGCAATTTTCACAGGGCCATCTCTTATACCCGGGGAGTGTTCCTAGATAAAAAAAAACCCTGTCAAACCGTCAAACTCGCCGAAAAATCCGTGAAAAACCCGTCAATTCGTGAATCTTCACATAATGTCAGCACTGACTGTACAGTGCTGCCACACAGAGAAAAATCGATTCCCTCACCTCATCCGGCTGCTGGTATTGTGAAACCGAAACCGAGCACCGAGCTAAAACAGAGCACAGCCAGTTCAGAGGTTACGACTGCATTGTTTATCAACAGGCTTTGAAATGAGAAGTGCAACCCATTCGTACATGCGGTTACGTGCCGTACGTGGGGAGCTCAACAGTTCGAGACGCCAGGAATCTTTACATATTTCCACCAGAGAATAACACGAAAAACATTGTTTATCAAGAGGTTTTTGTACCCATATTACTATTATGTTCCAGGGGTTCTAAGTTGGGCTGTGCTGTCATATAAAATGTCATACGTAACAGTTTTTTCCCTATGCTTATTATCTTATTAGACTGATTTCTAAATATTCATATTGTGTGCAATGTTATTGTCGATCTTTTCTGAAGATATCCTAAAAAAATCGAAATCTTGTTTAACAATAAATCCAATATTATTTTTGAAAATTTAGTGTCGAGAACGGTTCAACGAATCGTCTTCTTTCTCTAATAATTTAATGAAACGTCAGAGCTTCCGCGCTTCGCGCGGAAGGGGAGAAACTCCCCCTCCCTGCAACCAACCCCTAGGAACCGCGCGCTCTTTAAGTGATTCGCACCAGGGGCGTAAATCTCGGGGGGATGGGGGATGCGATGCGCATCCCCCCGCTCTTGAAGGAGGGGGGATGGACTGTACACATACCCCACCTGAGATTTTTAAAAAAAGAAAAAAGAAAGAAAGAAGGATGAAGAAGAAAAACGAAAGAAATGTGATTGTTTCAATTTCAGCATAATGCATGAGAAATGAGTTTTTTAAATGTATGTATAACTGTATAGCCTACAGTACAATTCAGTGTTAATCATGGCTATTGCATGGTATGCAATTAAGACAGACTTTCAAGTGGGGCACGGAGGAAGGAGTGACTGCCAGAGGCATATAGTCTCTCAAAAGTACAAGTGCTATGCGGGTGCAGTGGAATCTACACCTAATATATCAAGCTTCTTTGCAGCAGATAGAGAATTGTCTGTCTTGACGCAAAAGTGAGATTTACAGATTATTTAATTGAACACAATGTGCCTTTGAGGGCGGCAGACCATGCAAATGAACTCTTCAAGAAAATGTTTCCAGACTCACAAATAGCCAAAAAGTATGGTTGCAAACATACAAAAACACGTGAAATTGTGAGAAATTGCAATTCTTACCTGTGTTTTAATGGTGTCAGGACAAATACCCCCCGGACAATCACCCCCCGGACAATC